CAAAAAGAAGGGCCGTAGTGCGTTCGCGATTGCGTTAAAAAACATGTTTTAGGATTGCCGTAATTAAATGTTATAGAGATGTCGCCTACAAAGCTTCTAAATTTCCTGATTTTTGACGTCACCGATCAAAAGAAGCGAGGAGGCGAGAGGCGGGAAAATCAAACACCGAAAATAAAAAGGCGCGCGCGCGCGCGGGAAAATTTTTTTTCGCGATGCGGTTTTTTTTTGCGAGTCTATGACTGCAACTTGCATCGTTTTAGACAATAAAAATAAATACGACCTTTGGGGTGTCAGTGCCCCTTAAAAATCGGTCTGGTCTCTCTCGTTCTTACCGGGTCGCAAAAGTGTGAACGGGCCTTTATTTGAAATTGAAACTGTGGCGGAACATGAAAACCGGACTTCGAACTTTTGTCACTTGGACGAGAAAGAAATTCGAAACCTAAGTTTCGAATTTCTTTTTTTTTTCCGAATTTAGCGCTAAAAGAGAATGGAAACCTTCGAACTTTTCGAACTTTATGATGAAAGAAAATCGAAATCTTCGAATTTATCGACCTTTATGTCTATATGGGTTCGAAACGTTCGAATTTTCGATTTCAGATCAAAGACATTCAAAAATTCGTATCTTTCGATTTCAAGTTAGGGAAGTTCGAAATCTTCGAATTGATCGAACCTCGAGTAAAAAAAGTATTCGAAATAATCGAACCCGAACTTTTAGAAACCGTGAAAGTTGCGAATTTTTCGAATTAGAATCTCCGTACGGTCGAAAATATTGAAACTTTTCGAATTCGAACATCAGTTCGGTTCGAAAACATCGTCACCTTTCGAATCGAACCTCGGGTGGTTCGCGGCATCCCTATTCAAAATAGCTACGAATAGTCATTGATAGTCATTAAAAGCCATTTTGAACCGAAATCCGTCATATAATTAGGAAATAAAATCAAATAGCAAATAATAGCCATTCAAATCCAATCTGAGACATGCCTCAAAATATTACGAAATGGCCACTTACGGTCATTAAAGTCTATCACAAGTGGAATTATCTAATAAACAACTGCTTGGGTCTATATGCCCCGAAATAGCTTAGGATATGGCCCAGAGCCATTAATAGCCCTTGGAAGGCAATCTAGTTTGTACTCGTCCAAATAACTCAAATGTACAATCCAATAGTCATTACAGTCATTAGAGGCTAACCAGGCCCCCAAAACGACAGGTAAAACTGAACCGGACACTATTTCTACTTCCTTATAAATACTGGCTCTTCGTTAAACAGCCAGTGTAGCATTTACTGGCTGTAATTACTACGTCGTGTAGCATTTCCAGCCTCATTGGAAGTGAATCTCATATAATTTAAAATAATGACCAATGGAGCAATTACATATTTGAATTGCTCTGCTTTATTTCCAACTGTAAAGAGCCAGTCACTACAGGTAGTAACAGCCATTACCTTTAGACCGGTCCATAAACAGTCTACTTACTAGAAAGTGACTAATTGCTAGTAGGTATTTTATACCAGGTGTATTGCATAGGTTCCTATAATCTGAATACTTACTGCTAATATGAAGCGCACCTCCATGTTAGAAAAACGTCTATGAGCTCTTGCTCAATTGAAATCGGCACACAAATTTGCCATATATTCACAACTCCTGATAGTGTGAAGAGAAAAAAATAGTGTAGGGAACGACTGTTATGCTTTTAATTTCGAGCTCATAGTTTACCATCCCACAGCGAGAGATGGCAGCACTGCTTTGTCTCCCGACAACCCCATGTATTTTTGCTCCAGTTTCCAGTATTGGTAGTCAATGGTATTTGACGTCGATTATCTCCACCGACGCCACGTTTTTCAGCAAACAGGCAGCTATGCGCAGGCGCAGTCTGATCCTTCTCTTGCTTCGTTTACCACATGATAGATGGCGCACAGCCCCGACCATTATACTAGGGGACTTCCCCCCGATAGGGTGTTTACTCTCCCCGCTCCTCTGCATGCTCTACGTGGCTGGGATGGAAGTGAGGCTAATTTAGTCAAGAGTGGGCTTCTCTTTAACCCACCTAGAGGATGGCGAGGAGGTGAACTGGGTCCTGCCAGGGCTCACCTTCGCCGACGACATCGTTTTTAGGGCTCAGACAGGGGAAGATATGCAGCGGCTATTAAATATATGCACTGCGGAGGCTCCAGTGCGACACCTAGGCTTCAACGAAAAAAACAAAAATTGCGCTTGTAGAGTTTTTAGGGGCCGAAGACACGCTTTGCTGTACACTTAAGTTGGGCGACGAGGAGGTGCCACTTCAAGACTCGTACAAATACTTGGGTGTCATTCTAGCCAATACGCCGGAATACCTCCGAGAGCATCACGCTCATCTCTCATCTTCGCCAGACAGCAGAGCGAGGGGCCAACGACCTCGGAAAAAAAAAGTCTCTGGAGCTTCACGGGAAGTGTGGAAGGCAGCAATGGTTCCGGGCTTGACTTTCGCTAATGCTGTAGTGTGCGTCCCTGGTGAATTACAAGAAGTTCTGGAGCGACGACAACGAGCAGTAAGACGACAGGCTTTGGGCTGCCACGGAAATGTGGCTAACAAAGCCGTCCAGGGAGACCTAGGATGGTCTAGCTTCGAAGCCAGGGAAGCCAACAGCAAGATAAGCTACGATGCACGACTCCGCCACATGGATCGAAACCGATTGGCCAAGAACCTTGTTTTACACATTCACATGAGTGGGACACGAACAAGGTGTCAGAAGCGCCTCTATAAAGTATAAAAAAAGCATGGCTTCTTTACAGAACCCTTAGTGGTACTGACGGGTGAGAGGTTGGAGTTTAAAGTGAGAAGCAGAGTACGTGAGAGGGTGCTCTTCCAGTGGTCTGAAGCCGCTCAAGCGAAGCCAGCGCTGCTGGTGTACAGTAAAGACAAGCAACTGGTCGCGGCTGAGACCCTGCTCTGTGACAAGAGCTTGGGCAGCCGCCTTCTGGTCGAGGCGCGAGCGGGTGCTCTACGAACTCTGGTATACTGGGAGTGGTTTGACACCAAGGTGGTTTCCACGATGTGCCGCGCGTGCAGAGAAGAGCCTGAGACAGTTGAACACCTTGTGCTCTATTGTGAGTGCCTGCTGCCAGCCCCACTGGTAGTTCACCGGCTTCACTCAGAGGCGATGCTAGCATGTGCCCTGGGTTTTAAAACGACGGTTGACTCAGACAACCTGTATACCGGCGGGGCAGACGACCCTCCACAAGACAGGCATGACATTTCTACCATGAAGTGCGTGCAAAGGACGGAATCGCGCCTGGAACACTGGTGGAAGACAATTTAGAAAACAAGCTTATGGGTTTTTTTGGCTAGGGCACGAAGACTCTTCGAGCTCGCCCGGTATAAAGGGAAAAGGCGCATCATCATCATCATCATCATCATCATCATCATCATTACAAAGTTCGGCATTTTCCGTCACGTCGCTAATTATTCAACAAAATGTGGGTCAAAATATTCTTTAAAAATACTTTTAAGAAACTTTCGCCAGCAATTTATTGTTTATGATCGCGGCGCTGGTGAGGTAGGCTCTGATCCAACAGGCGATGTGGATTTGGCTTGCCTGCCGTGGCACCGCGGATGCATCGCAGTGAAAACACAGAGAGCTTTCAGAAGCAAAAAAGGTATAAAGGGTCTGCTTTCTTTTAAAAGTTCTATATAAAAAAACATATTTTTGCTCTCTTCTTTTTTTGTTTTGGTTTTCTTTTCACACCTTTTACGGCGTGCAGTGAATGAAACTCGAATTCAAAATCATTTCATGGTTCCTTTAAATTGAAGCTTCACGAGTCCTCAGAAGAATAGGCTTTCGGTGAACAAACCAGATTGCGCTTAATAAAAAAAAAAAAAACTGTCACAAAAGTACACATTTATACTGTAAGCATATACAAAAGAAAAACAAAAAAAAACAGCTAGATGAACAACCGCTGTAGAAGAACAAGGAAAGAAAAGTTTATTTGCATTGTACTGCGTTCAGAACGGTCAAAATACGGTAAATTGTGTAAAAGCATGGAGCTTATCTTTTTGGAGAAATTGCACCGAGATCTAAAAATCTGTCTTTTTAAAGTGGTACAAAAGCCGAGGGACCGAACATTGAAGCATTTTCTTCCCATAATTAGATCTAAACGTGAGAATCCTCTAATTTTAATTATGGCGGGTAAAGGAGAAGAGATAATTGTTTTAAAATATTGGAGTTCCATTTGTATTGTTGTAATGGCAACCGCGAAGCAGATCCGCTTGTTTTTCTCAGAAAATGAGCGTGAACGTTTTGACTTGAATCTCCAAAGTGACGGGGCTTCAAGCGTTGGCAACCGCCTAGCGAATGCGGTTGAAACGCCTGTGCGAATAGGCGTTTTTAGCAGGCCATCAACAGATTATATATATGGCCACAGTACGACTCTTGGTGGGCGCTAAAGAGCATGCTTCGAAGTCTTATTGCGAGCTAACGGTAGCCATGCCGCACGGCAACTCTGTGCCAAAACTGCCTAATGAGGCATTAGGGGTTTTGTGTCCACGGATGTACTCTCGATGACGTCACTGCATCACCTGACACTGAGACGCCATCAGAAAGGTGCGCTGAATGCGTTGCATTTATAGGTGCTCTCTGAACTGTCACGTGACACCGACGTCACACGGTGGTGTCACCTGATACTCTGGCGTGAGACTTTGATGTCCTGTGGCACCATGACGTTAAATGACATCACAGTGTCGCGTAATAATGACGGCTTTATATGTTTCCAAAACCCTCGCAACGTCCCATTCAGTGATATTCTTACTGTAACTTCAAAACGAGGAATGCTAAGTGACCCTACAAACGGTAGGCATCAGAACGCCTTTGGGAAATGCCAAATCGAAAGGTAATTTTTTACTGACTCATTAACAAGAAGGTAGCCATTTCTTACCTGTTCGTACCCAACCATCGGGAGTAATTGTCTGCGATGTAGCTTCCGGGTGTCCATAATAACCCTTCATAGAACATGGCGTCTTCACTAGCACTTCTCCTTCTTCGTTTTGTCCAAGTACTTTTCCACTCTTGACGTCAACAACCTGATGACAACCGATATCAATAGTGACCAGCATATCGACAGTGGAGAAGTGATATCAATAGTTCCGAGCTGAAATTTGAGTATCTGGACACATCGCGTACTCATCACTAAATGCAACCGAACTCACCTTAATTTGTACCATCGGGGACGGAAATCCAATGCCGTGCCCACAGGACGCGGCCAGGGGAGGTTTGCATATCCCGCCGACTTCCGTAGATCCGAAAATGTTTTTGACGATGTACAGATCAAACAACGGTTTGATTTGCCTTAATATTTGGGGCGTGATCTTTGCGCCACACACAATAATAGTCGTTAGACTGTCCAGCTGAATTCCTCGCTTCTCAATCGCCTTGGCAAGCAGCAGAATCCAGTGTGGAGTCCCGAACACCGCTGTCACCTGCGGCAAGGTGAGGGGAGAGGGATTCGAATAATTCGGTTGCTCAAATTGTATTCCGAAGGGAGCTTGCATTCCGTAGTGGCGAAATGAATTCTACACATGCGGGTCCAGGCGCACACTACTTTATATACATTAGAATGTTTTGCGCCCTATGATCATTCTGCGAATACATCATAAAAAACGACAGTCTGCAAAACACTGTCTGAGGTGTTTTTCTTGCTTGTACTGTAACATTGGTCATAAAAAGACTGTCTAGAGACATGATCCAAGCATGCGTATGCATCACACCAAACATGTTTCAACATGCATGGGGCGCGTATCCGCATATATATTTGGCATTGTGTGTGCTGTGAACGCCGTGTCTTTTGTATGCATGTATGTGAGCAGTGGGACCGGTGGGAAAAGAGCTGTTCCGAAAACCTACACCATATTTCAAGTAATATACCTGTTTTTAATCGTGCTCATGACTAAATACCTTTCATTTTTGAAGAGTATAAAAATGTTATGGAAAAGAGTGATATGGAGAAGGGGTACGGTGCACCCTATCTGAAGGGAGTTCGCAGCACTGATCTCCCGCTTTAAAAATGCTATAACGGAAGTTGTTTTTGCGATAATGCCGAATAAGTATTGCATGTACCAATGCTTATTACTTGGAAATACACTACTTGAACGTTTAGTATAGCATACTATTCTTTGCGTAGCGTCAGCGAAAAATTACGCCAATTTTTGCCCGTCTTCGTTTACTTGCTCTGCAGATCTCCACAGTGTATTTGATCATACAAACAACCGCCGTTTCGACTATTAAAATTAAGAAAAATGAATTAATAACGTTTAAATGAGATAACGATGAGTGCCGATATTAATTAGTATCTGGTTTTGGGTCACTGGCGCTACATTTGGGCGTACGATGAGCTTTAAGAAATGCGTACTGTTTATTTTTTTTTTGCGTGAAAGAAACTTTGTAATTTTCTTGGGGGTAAAAACACTCTGTACTTGTAACATTCGTAATTGCAGAGGCCGTCATCTGAGAAGGAGTGCCTCTGGATGGTCGAGTATTTCCGCAGGAGTTTCTGGGAATACTTTTAAGAATCCGTACAAATAGGGAGGGTATGGGAAAAAAAGAAATTTTTTCGGGAGCAAACTGCCAATCACGGCAAACGTCAGGAATTACACATGTAAAACAGACTTGTATAGTGCTCATTGCAAGTAATCAATTTACTTGTAACATTTTAGGATTTTTTGTAATAATTTGATTGCATTAATTAGGAAGTAATCGCAAGAGTAATGGGATTCTTTTTGGAAGAACTAACATTACTTGGAACCGTTACTAGTTATTTCTTCCTTCTGTAATGGTGCCCTTTGTTTCGAAAAGTTAATAAAACCTCAAATCAAGACACCGGCAGAAGGGTAGTCTAATCAAATTGGCGGTTTCAGAATATCAGTATTTTCTAGCTTGGAGATTCTAAATTATTAATGGAGAGTACGATAGACCCGTTTTGGAACCGGAAGAAAAATATATCGTTGGGAAAATCTGATGTAATCTGGAGAAGCATCGGTTCCTTTTTTCGAGTAACGGTCAATTTCCTTTTTTTTCTTGTAATCAAGTAATCTAATTGAATACTTTTTCACCAGGAGTAATTTTAATCCTTATAGATTACTTTTTGCTCTCCTATTGAAAAATCCGACAAAAACCTCCAGTGGTATTCGGTTGAAACGGGCTAATTTCCACTCATTTTCACCAGAAACCACCGTAGTTTACCAGTTTTTTGGTGAAAATATTACCGACCACAACTTTTAGTGATCAGACTTCGGTGGACGTTTTCCCGGGTCTACTTTCGGTTAAAATCCGGCAAAAGCTTCCAGTGACATTTTGTGGAAACGGGTTAATTTCCACTCATTTTCACCAGAAACCAGCGTAGTTTACCAGTCTTTGGTGGAAATATTACCAGCAGGAACTTTCGCTTGGAGTTTTACCAGGACCACTTTCGGTTACCCGTCGCTGGAGTCCTACCGGAAGTCACTATCGTTTGATGGACACCGAACTTCACCGGAAGTTGACGCAACGGGAACGGCTAAAGGCAAGGAAGCAAGGCGAGCAGAAGGACTGAGTTTGTAATGGTGGCCGCAAATGCAGTGGCATTCTCGTGAGTGCGTGTTTTTGGCTCGAGACGACGTTTTAATCCTGCAAGAAGCGCGTGCAGCGAACTGTTTGGGCGATCCAAAAAGGTGGGCAGCGATCACCGGCAACTTGCTATTTGCGACAGGCAGAAGTCGGGGCCAGAGCAGGTACGAGACCACTCGGGCGGCATTCTCGTGAGTGCGAGTTTTAGCTCGGGATGACGTTGCAGTCCTCAAGAAGAGCGTACAGCGAACTGTTTTGACGATCCAAAAAGCTGGGCACTTTCACCCGCTTTCATCCGAAACCAGTTTACCAGTCTTTGCTAGATTATTTGCCGGCAAACAGATTTCGCTGGAATTTCCCCGGCATCGGGTTTCCAGATTTCGCTGGAATGTCACCGGCAGCCACTTTCGTTTACCAGACTACCCGGTTTTGCTAGAAATCTTACCCAAAACTGGTGACTCGCTTCCCTGTTTACCGGACGAGCCGGGGACTGGGTGTGTAATTATGGCGCTTCGCACCAAGGACGAGCCCCCAAGCACCCTCTCTCCCTCGCATTGGGTTCGTGGAGAACATGCGAAAAGGTCGTTTTGCTGACTTTTTTTTTTAAGAAAACGGTTTCTTTGTTTGTCGACGAGCAACGGCCGGCCAGGAACGAACGCTGAGCCTCGGCTTCTCGTTCCATGTGTGCGACCTGTATCTTTCAAAGCAGCTGGTTGTACAGATGAAAAAAAAATATTTTTCCATGACCTGCTTTTTACGCCTCTCTGTCCGTCCGTCTTCAGAAGCATTCAGAGAGCAAAAAAGACTCTGCCTAAGAGTTCTCAACGTCGGCGGATGTTCGTTTCGCGGGTTCGCGGCTTTCGCTAAGCGTGCCACTGATAGTGTGTGTGTGTCCGCCTGGTGCACCCGCGACGACGGCATCAGGGACGACATCGTGAGTGTGCCCGGGATCTCTCAACGGCGGCGGATGTTCGTTCCGCGCAATCGTGGTTTTCACTCGACGTGCTACTGACAGTATACGTGTGTGTGTTCATGTGTTCGTGTGGTGCATATGCGCGGTTTTATTAGTTCAACTTTCGTACGTCTAGGAATTTACCTAGCGGCATTGTGAGTACCTTAAAAGATATCTTTTGTGACAAAGGACTCGGTTGTTCCTATTTGGTCTGATTGCTTTTGTCTACGGCTGTGCAAATTGTTTCACTGGTATCGACCCTGTTAAATAAATACATAAAACCTTCAGGTCTATATGGACTGACCACTTTAATTGTTACCGAATCGTCCAGCATCTGGTAAACATACACCAACCACGGTTCACAGGCTTTTTCCTAAGTGCCTTCCGTTGACGTCCGAAAAGAGAAAAAAAAAAAACACGGTAAATTTCGGCCAGTCTGGTGATCTTCGGGTAAATTCTGGCTTTACTGGAAGTGAAAAGAGCCCCAAAATCTAGTGAAATAGATTTTTACTTGAAATAAACTTCCGGTAGAAACCGGTGATATTCTGGTAAAATAATCTGGTGACATTCCGGTAAACTACGGCTTTACTGGAAGTGGAAACAGTCCCATAATCCAGTAAAATAAACTTTTACTGGAAATTGCATTTCGGTATAAAAATATTTTTCAATAGGGTTCACAACTCAAACTGTGCCTAGGTGTCCTCGAACTTGTTTTATGCATCTTGTTTCTATGATTTTTTTATAAGAATTCGCAGAAACATCCGGCGTGGACGTAGATTAATCATCAAGCTCGTGACTCCTTCCTCAGGCGTGATTCAATAAATCTGTATTTGCTTTTTCTTTGTGTGTGAAAACTGCACGTTGTGCTTCTTGCATGTAAAAGATATACATAGGGGAAGGTTACTAACACCTTAAAAATTTAATTTTTAGGGTGTTAACCAGGATTGTAAGAGCATTAATAGTACTAGCACCCTTAGTTTATTAGCCCTGGGACATCTGTAAAAAATAATTCATTGAAACAAAAACGTATTGCTGCTGTTGGGTTCATAACTCAGGATTGATTTTTAAACAGTTAACTTTTCTTATAATTCGGCCTATCGATTAAAAGCATGCATATTTCCACATTAACAGACAAAACCGAATAAATAGAGAAAATAAAAGGCTGTTATTTCTTGATAGCATTATGTGAAAGAAATTAATGTGCTAATGAAAATCCTGTTGGCCTGGCAGACTCGGCGTCCCTTCGCGCCAATGAAAGACTCATCGACACATGTTTCATAGTTGAATCTCAACGAGGTTTCATCGACATGGCTACGTTTTGCCAAAAAAAAACATGATTGCATCGTCATTCATGAACCACGGTGACGGCAGCGATGTTTATCGCGCAGAAAACAAGACAAACTTACTTGTGAGAGTTGGTTCACGGCTTCCCGCGTATAGTGCATCGGAAAGCACAATAGTGGGCGTTTCAGCAAGACTTAACTTTGTAGGGTAACAAATACGGTAACACCAAATACGATTCTACACAGAGTGAAGTCTCACAAGAAACAGAAGGTTCATTAAAAAACCGGAAAGCGTTTTGGCAATGATCGGTGCCCGGTGATCGCCAAAAATGTGTGTACACATTGTGAAATATTAAATATGAAATAATCTAGATCTACTCAAATTTAGTCACACCTTGGCTGTCCACATTGCTGCAATTTTAAACGATTCAACTCAGTCTTATTTTGAGTTTTTTTTTTGGCAAATATAAATTTTAGAGTGGCTTTCCCTGTTGTTTCTTTTTAATTCAGAAATTTCTCGCTAATTGCTGGTGAGGTACTTAGGGCTAGAAAATCGCGTGATTAAATATCACGCAACCCTGTTAGCATAGGAAATATAATTTGCGTGTCATATACCTTGTATTTTCTGAATGCATCCTCAATT